TTTGAGAGTTTTTCTAGGTGGCCAACTAACCCAATAATCTTTACCACAATGTTGAATTAGTACTCATTCTCTTTAGAATTGGTTTTCAGACAGAAACTTCTAGAAATTCTATCAACATCTCAGCCCAAAATATTGTAGATATTTTGGTAAGCAGTAGGAGAGGACACTTGAATATAACTGGGCCTTTTAGAAAAGTGAAGTCCATTGGGTTGCTTTACTTGGCCTAAGGAGTTGATGTATATGTAGGGGCTCTGGGCAGAACCTCCCCCCCACACACATGTGCCACTTTGGCATATGGATTAATTTGAGCTGAAGGCACTTGAAACCCTGTGGGCTCAAAAGAAACTTTGTCCTTCCCTTAACCACACAGAAGAACCTAAATTGGGGGTCTTTCCCAGAATAAGGGTTATTAACAGAGATAAGTTTTACCTGAGTGACCCATCTGTATGGCACGGCAAACATCGAATTACCAAACATCTACTCTCCTTATTGCCCTGTGAAATGCATTCCTTTCCTCTGAAATTTCAGACCCCTAACTCCTTCTCTTAGTTCAGAGTGACATATATACTCATTTTGCCTGTCTTTGGAATTTCCTTATCTATGTGGAATCCCCATATGTACCTTATGAAATTTGATTTTCTCCTGTTAATCTGTTTCATGTCAATTTGTTTCATTTTTTAAAAAATATTTTACTTTTTTTTTTTAAAAGATTTTATTTATTTATTTGAGAGAGAGAGAATGAGAGAGAGCGAGTACATGAGAGGGGGGAGGGTCAGAGGGAGAAGCAGACTCCCCACTGAGCAGGGAGCCCGATGCGGGACTCGATCCCGGTACTCCAGGACCATGACCTGAGCCGAAGGCAGTTGCTTAACCAACTGAGCCACCCAGGCGCCCAAAAATATTTTACTTTTAAGTAAACTCTACACCCAACATGGGGCTTGAAACCACAACCTTGAGATCAAGAGTTGCACGCTCTACCACCTGAGCCAGCCAGGTGCCCCCATGTCAATTATTTCTTAGTCCTGCTAGAAGGACCTCTGAGGGAACAGGAATTCTTCCTCCCCAACATATGAAAGCTGTTCTCTCTGAAATCATCCTCAAGGATAAGAAAGTAACCCCAAACATCTAATGAGTATCCATCCAGTTGGCTTCCTGCTGCACCTAAAATAAAATCTATACTCCTGTTTAGGGTCAAAAAGATCTGGCCTCTCGCTACCTGTCTCTACCTCATACACCACACTCCAGCCAAACTGGCCTCTCTTTCAAACTTGAAAATGCCAAGCTGCAACATCATTCCTGCCTTAAGACCTGCATTGCTATGTTCCAGTTCTTGGCATGCAGATTACTCTTCATTTGGTTCCCACCTCAAATGTCACCTCTTCAGACAATCTAAAGTAATCCTACAGTCACCCTCTAGCACATCATCCTATTTTATTTTATTTTTTTTTCCACAATAAGTGTACTCTTTAATCCCCATCTTCTATTTCCCCTATCCCCCCATGCACCTCCCCTCTGGTAACCATCAGTTTGTTCTCTATAGTTAAGAGTCTGTTTTCTGGTTTGTCTCTCTTTCTTTTTCTTTTCCTTTGCTTGTTTGTCCTATTTTATTTTCTTCATGGTATCATACCTGTGAATTTTTTTCATTCATGTGTTTGTTTACCTGCTGCTTCTAGGCCCCCTACTAATGTACTTACTCTTCGTTGTCTGTCATGTTCATCACTGTGTCCCTCATGTTTTGCACAGAACCTGATATGTGTTCAGTGCTCAATAAATATGTGCTGAATGAATGCATGAAGATGAATCCAAGCATAACTTAATCTTTAAATTTAAATAATTGAGAAATCCTGTACTAATATTGGAAGGGGGGACAGTGGTTAATATCACCATAACTAATGTAACTAACTTGTGTTTATAAGACTTTTATTGATCATGGACCACAGCATTTTTTCAATAAAATATTATAAATATTAGATTGATAAATATTCCACTTGCCATTATGAAAAGCTGTCCTTTTGATGAGGTATCACAAATGAATGCCAGTATTCCTTGAGAAATACTGCCAACTCATCCTATTCTTCTGTCAGTGTTAAGAAACTACATTTCCCTTTGGCCAATTTCTAGTTGTTCTAGGTATGTAGTATCTATTGCTAGGACTTCAGAAGCCAATGAGCAACTTGCTTGTCACATGCTCCAACAAATGGTCTCTTCCGCATGCAGTGTATCTAAGCAGAGAAGCAGCTCTCCTAAGATGATAACCAATACAGCATAGAATATTGTTAAACCTATGGCTTATTATCCTGCAAAGTTTACCCCAGCAGGCTGCCAAAAGGAAAAAAAAAAAAGGCCTAGCAATTTGGTTTTCTACCAGGCAGTCCCCATTTAGCTAGTTGTAGCTTAGAAGCAGATGTCTGAGAGCAAGCAGTTCAGCAAGCCTGCAGTCAGATGCTTTTGTAGAGCTTTTTTCTTAAAAGGAAAAATTGAGGCAGGTCAATGGATTACAACTTCCTGGGCTTGCTTTTGTTATCTATAAAGTATCACCACTAAACCTGCTTTGCTAAAGTGAAACTCCAAGGCTTAAAAAAGCATCTTTCCTTCTAAAAATTAAATAAACTGGTTTAAAAAAAAAAAATTCAACATTAGTAGAGAGGGGAAAAAATACCCACAAGTCAGTAAGAGCTAAATAACATACTTTTCCCTTTAAGGAAAACATGTAGCATAAGAAAACCTTATTTTTAAAAAACTGCAATGAAATTTCTTGAAACCACACATCTTAGGAAAGTTTGATTATTAATTCTTCCAGAGGAACTGTTAACACTTAAATGACAAAACTCTATTAACCACTGTTCTTCAATTATTTCACTATCAAATTAAATTTAAGAAAATACACACAATCCTATCTTGGCATCCAAAACAAAAATTTCTTGGTGTTTTTTGGGGGGTTGGGGAGACTAAAGAGGAGGTGTCTTTTTCATCAAACCTCTTATACTGGTTCACTTCTCATTAATTTGGTCTCGTGTGTGTGTGTGTGTGTGTGTGTGTGTGTGTGCATGTGCGAGCGCGTGCGCGCTTCTGCCCAGGTTAATTTTAAGAGTAAGGTTGTCTCTAAGCATGTACTGTAAAACTGTAAAATTTTTTCCACTCTTCATGGACCATTTACAATCTGCAAGGTTTGGGGTGGATATGAAATGTATTCCTGCCAATGGATAGCCACATCAACAGTGCTGAAAACCAATCCTTCTGTTTTGCTCATTGGGCCATATGGTCCCATGAAAAAGGAGCTAAACAAAAGTGCAACTAATGCACCTTGTCAATCTGGGTTTAGAGTAATTATCTGATACAATGGTAAAGAAACTGCAGATAAATATATTCTCTCATTCTTCAGTCGTCTACCGCTATAAACATATACTAATTCATTGGAAGAACAAAAAATCAGGTCTAAGGCCTTTTCTATTTTACAGGAACTAGATTTTAAAGAAAATACATTGCAATAAAATTATGTATATATTATATATATATAATATATATATAATATATATATATAACAGTTTCAACCAAAATACCGGTGTTTTGTAGTAACGTCGTCCAAAAGATTAAGGATCATGGTTTAAAACCCTTTCCAGTAAGTGATTTGAGTACCCCAGAGCAATTAACAAGCAAGCTGAAGCACCAAGATAAAGTTGTGTCCCCCTAGTGACCTCTAGAGTGGAGCTAAGCTCCCACAAGCAGGACTGGGGGAAAAAGCAAGAAGCATGTCAAAGCCGAGCGCGCTGCTGTAACCTAGCCGTTATATTCAATAATGTACCGGTTCCCATCTCAGAGGGCTGGTCCTGTTTTATATAACCTTAACGCCAATAAGTCTCCGCCTCCTGGCCAAGAGGCCCATTGGGTCGAAATCCAACTTCAAGCACCTTCTCTTCCTCCTCCCGAAGTTGCTGAGTTCCGGCACCCCACCCCCAGGCGCACAGCCATCCTCCACGTGCGCGGTAAGGAACGGACTTGCACCTCTCTGCAGTGCTGCACACAACCTCTCCGCCACTGCCGGTTCCCCAGCGAGAGCGCGGGAGCGGGAGGGAGCCGGCGACCTGCGACTTCTACGAGTCCCCGCTTCAGGCGCCTGGGGCCGGTACACCAGCTCCCAGGGCGCAGCGCTCTGCGAATCCTGGGGACGCACCCCTCCGCCCCGCCCCCCTTCTGCCCCGCCAAGCCCGATGCTGCCCACGAGGCTCCCTCCCGAGTGCAGCCCTGGACCACCCCAGCAACAAGCTCTTCCTTGTCCTTTCTGCCATCGCTTCTCCTCCCCTGAACTTTCCAACTTTGGAACCCCCGGTTGCAAAGGAGCAACAGGGGGAGACTGCTCGGCCAGAGTCACTGCCCGCCTACCCAGGTCGGGAAGGGGGAAATGGAGCCTGCAGGGACTCGGCTGGTAGCAACTCCTCTTGACCACTGGGCAAAAGGAGAGGCAGACAGCTATTACCGCCTCAGGATGGAGGTTGGGAAAATGGATGCAGAATTTGTCACCCTAGGGATGAAGGGGCGGTGGGGGGGGGAGCTTGGGAGGAGGGAATAGGAGAGACCAAGGAAAAAACTCACTCTCTCTCTGGCACACACACGCGCGCGCGCACACACACGCACACATGCAGCCTGTTTTCTAAAAGGACGAGACGCTACGAGCCAGGAGTCTCTTTTCTCCCCACCGCCCTCAGGGGGGAACGCGCAACAGATACCCAAGCTCTCCGAGTAGGAAAGGGGTGGGGTGAGAGAAAGAATCTCCAGGTTTCCGCAGGTTAGAAAAACGGGACAAACTCCTGTCAGAGTCTCCCTGGAGGCAAAGGGAGTTAGGTGCAGCAGCGCTGAGGTCCCTCCACCTCCTCGAGAAGGCAAACTCTTCCCCTGCAGGCAACCTTCCACCTGGCGGAGTCTGGATGTAAACAGGCAGGACCGAGGGGCGGACCGCGGGTGGGAGGTGGGATGGGCCGAGATGAGAACAGAGCGGAACTCACCCTTGCTGCTGGGGGGCTCTCTCTTCTTGGCCATCTTCTGCCCCCGCCCCTCCCCCAGACCCCCCGCGCGTTTCCTCCGGGTGCCGCCCAGCTCCCGAAGCCCGCTCGGCGGTTTCCAGGGCGAGCTCTCGCCGCGGCTCCCCGCTCAGCAAGCTCTTTGTTGCTGTGATGGCATCTGCGAGGCGACGGCAGCGGCGGCGGCGGCGGCGGCCGCCCGCC